CTGCTGACCCCCGGGAACGCCGTGTCCCCCCAGGAGCGGCCCCCACCGTACCTGGCAGCCCCAGGACATGGCGATGAGTTCCCCGCGGCCGGGGCCCACAGCAGCCCCCCAAAGGCCCGCTTCCTGCGGGTCCCCAGCGAGCACCCTTACCTGACCCCATCCCCAGAGTCCCCCGAGCACTGGGCCAGCCCCTCACCTCCCTCACTCTCGGACTGGTCCGACTCCACGCCCAGCCCGGCCACTGCCACCGGGGCCACGGCCGCTGGGGCACTGTCTGCCCAGCCGCTCCCCATGTCGGTCCCTGGCCCTCTTGCTCAGTCCCAGACCCAGCTAGGGTCCCAGCCTGAAGTCACCCCCAAGAGGCAAGTGTTGGCCTGAGGGCTCCACAGTTCCTAGATTTGGGGAGACTGTAGAGACACCCCATCCTGCTTCCTCTCTGTCTCCCCTTTTAGTCCATTTCATTCTCTCTAATCTCTTCTCCTGCACCCCACCCTCCTTGCAGTGTGACCAAGACAGGTCACAAGCCTAGGGCTTCAGTCTTCCTTTATTTATAAGGGGTGCAGGCTGACCCCCACCCTTTGCGTCTTGTGGTGAGTCTGGGACATGCTCCTGCCTCTCCCCTCTTCCTGGGGCCACCGCCCCCCCAATTCTCTCCTGCTTTCTTGCCTCTTCTGGCCTCTCTCACTCATGTTCTGACACAGGTGGATTATTATTATTGTTTTTTTTTTTACATTTTGTATAGAAACAAATTCATTTAAACAAACATTATTATTATTATTTTTTACAAAATATATATATGGAGATGCTCCCTGCCCCCTGCGAACCCCCCAGTGCCCCCGTGGGGCTGAGTCTGTGGGCCCATTCGGCCAAGCTGGATTCTGTGTACCAAGTACGCAGGCATGACTGGGATCCTGTGTACCAAGTACACGACCCTGGTGTGTACCAAGTAGGCACCCTTGGGCGAACCCTCTGGGGCTAGGGGTCGGGTGAGACTTGGGAGCCTTCTCCCCACCCCACCTCCCTCACTTCACTGCATTCCAGATGCAACTTATTCTATAGCTTTGCTGGGGGAAGTGCCCTTCTGGCCTGGAGAGCCTGTCCCCAAGCCCCCCATCACAGAGTGTGGGCCACCTCCCTTTGGGAACTAGGGGGTGGGGTGGCCGGTGGGAATATGAGGACCAGGGGAGACATGTGCATTTTACTTTGTCTCCCTGTAAATATGGGCCTGCAGGGAGGAAAGGAGCTGCCTGCACAGCACTTCCTCCTGGTACTCCCCTGGCCCAGCCCCAGGGCAGAATAGAAGTAGGCTATTTTTGTAATATAGCTTCTGGTCACAGTCCTTGTGTAGCTAAATTCCCAGGCCTTGCACTGTACAGCCCCCTTTCCCCTCACCACCTAATAAAGGAATAGTTAGCACTCAATGTCATTGTTCTGTGTCTAGGTAAGTTCCGAGTGGCGGGGGTGGTAGTGTGGGGTTTCTGTCTCTTCAGCGCTAACTTTTGAGACAGGCTGGGACCTGGGACCCTTTGCTGCAGTGCTTGCACCTGGACGAACATCTACTGGAGCAACAACAGACAAAGGAACTATAAGGGACTAAAAATAACTGTGGGCATGTGCAGTTGGGGCAAATTATGGCCAAGAAGATACAAAAAGACCAAAAAAAAAAAAAAAACCCCAACTGCCACTTCTGAAGAGCTGGGAGCAAAAACAGGGTGTCAGGAGCAAAAGCAGGGTACTGCGCATGCCCCCTGCACACACCACCACCAAAGGGGTGGGAAGACCACCAAAGCCACCCTTCTGGCTCCATCCTTGGACCCACCCTCACCCCATACCTCCACCCTTGGGGAGCAAGCAAGCACGGGAATCTGTTCGTTCTCACTCCCCGCTGCTGCAGCAGGGGTCCCAATAAAGCCTTGCCTGAATTTCTTGTCTGGCCTCTGATCAATTTCTATTGACTAAGGAGGCCAAGAACCCGGTTGGTAAAAACCTGGGCTCTCATCTTGGGGTCAAGCCATTTGGCTTGCTTGCCAGCCACTTTTGCTTCCTCTTTTGATGGATGACTCCACTGATTGGACTAGGGGTGGCCACCTGACTTAAATTGAACCAGATTCCCTTGCTTGAGAATGTTTTTAAAATGGGGATGCTAAGAAAGCTATCAGTTGGTGGAGCTTCTAAGGTCAAGGCAGATGGAGAAATATTGATGGCCAGTTTGGGGTGGTGGGTACTGATGAGAAAACAGCAGAAGACTGGAGCTATGCAGGGAGAATCAGAGATGAGGGTTCAAATGGCTCCAGAGTGTTGGAGGGAGTACCTCATTTCCAAATGGAGTATCAATTCCAGTTAATTGAGCATTTATTCCACTGACATCAATAGGTATTTATTAACTGCCTTCTAAGTGCCTAATGCTGGTTCACCCCATCAGCTGGCGTGCTCTTGGTTGCAAGTGACACAAAAAATCTACCCAGCTGGCTTAAACAAACAAAAACCAATTTATAAATTCATATAACTAAAAAAGACCAGCTTCAGGGGATATTTGAGCTAGTGGCTCAAATGAGGTCAACAAGGACTGAGTTCTTCATCTCTACAGATTTTTCTCTGGGCATCAGTTTCATTCTCAGGCTGAATGTGGTACTCAACCCAACTTCTCTTCCCCCTCCCACAGCTTCAGCCCTCCTTCTGTATTAGCAAAATAGGTGCAAGGATCATAGACCATATCGCACGTTCCAGAGAACTGAGAAGCTTCTAGTCTTGGGGTTGATTTTGTATTGACTTCAAATGGGTCGCATATTTATCCTCTAACCTAGTGTTCCTCAACGTTGGTACTGTTGGCATTTGGGGCCAGATCATTCTTTGCTGTGGAAGGCTGTCCCGTGCATTGTAGGATGTTTAACAGCATCCCTGGCCTCCACCCACTAGATGCCAGTAGCACCCCCTCCTCCAGTGTGACAACCAAAAATATTTCCAGATATTGCCAGTTGCCAAGCAATGAAAAACTGCTTTTGAGCACTACTGCTCTAACCAATCACTATGGCAATGGGTTATAGAATGTGCTGATTTCTTAAAGCAATGAGTTTCTGCTCTGGAACTGGGGCGTGGGGTAAATGTCAGGTTTGCAGAAGCAGGAATTCTGTGGAAACAACTAATATAAATATTCACTCCACCTCCTCTCTTTTGGCTAAGTCTTTGGAGATGGAGCAATCTCTTTTTAAAACAAATTTTATTGAAATACAATTGACTTACAATGTTGTGTTAGTTTCAATAAAGTGATTCTGTTATTTTATATACATATGTATACATATATATTCTTTGTGTTACATTCTCTTTCATTATAGGTTATTACAAGATATTGAGTATAATAAGTCCCTGTGCTGTACAGTAGGTCCTTGTTCATTATCTATTTTATTTAATTATTTAATTATTATTTTTATTTTTTTTTGGCCGCGCCATGCAGCTTGCGGGATCTTAGTTTCCCGAACGGGGATTGAACCCACACCCTCGGCAGTGAGAGTGGCGCGTCCTAACCACCGACCACCAGAGAATTCCCTCTATTTATATATAGTAGTGAGTGTGTATATTTAATCCCAAACTCCTGGGACAGTCTCTTTTATTGTCTCAAGTTCATTTTATGTTCATTCATTTATCCTCTATGTGCTTACTGGGCACTTACTGCGTGCCAAATCCTGGACAAACTGTTGGGAGTAGAATGGTGAATTATGTGAGCTCACTCCTTGCTCTTATGGAATTTCAGGCTAGTTAGGGGATGTATAGGGGTGCCCCCCTTGTCCCTTTGGGTCTTACCATTGCAGTACATGCTTGATAGCATCTGACTGCAAACACCAGAACTTCTCTTGTGTGGGCCAGGAACAACCCTCAAAAATGAGGGATGGGGGCTTCCCTGGTGGTCCAGTGGTTAAGACTCCGTGCTTCCACTGCAGGGGGCACTGGTTCAATCCCTGGTCGGGGAGCTAAGATTCCGCATGCTGTGCAGCGTGGCCAAAAAACAGAAAAATATAAAAATAAAATAAAATAAAATTGGCACGACACAGAGAACGTTAGCGTGGCCCCTGTGTAAGGAGGACATGCAAATTGGCAAAAAAAAAAAAAAAAAAAAGAGGGATGGATGGGAGTTGGTGGATAAATACCCCAGCTCCCTCACCCCTCTGTGGGGGCAATTCTGAGGTGTGTTCCACAGACTCTCAGAGGGTGTCCGTCAGGATTGAGCCCCAGTTGCCCATGGTAGCAACTTACTCTTCCTCATGGGAACTTTCTGGAATGTTCCCTTTTGGAATGATCCTATTGGATATTTCTGGAATGATCTCTCAAATAAGTTCTTTGCACTTGAATCCTTGGCCCAAGAGAAGTTCATCTTAGCTGCGTGCATGAGTAGGCTCTTGGAGGAAAACCGGAAATATTTGTTGGGGTGCAAGCGAGTTTGGAGATCTTTCTTCCTGAGTGCTACACAGAAGTGGAGAAAGTCGTTCTTCCCACCCACTTTGTCCACTTTATCCTGCAACCCTGGCTCTATGGAAACAGGGCGTTGGAGATGTGTGTCTCACGGGGTGAGCCCACTTTCATACCTGGTGGAGCCAACTTTTTTGTAAGCATATGTGAGACTCTTCCACCCTGGAGGCTCCCTGGAATGGTTGGGGGAGGGGTGTCAGGTGGGGGAACAGGAAGCCTGCATCACTGGTTGGGAAAAATGAACTAGTGGGATTCAGATTCATGTGCATGTGACTTCATTGACCCACAAGATTTGGGGACATTTGGATTCACATCCTAAGTGACTTTTTTTTTTTTTGCGGTACGCGGGCCTCTCACTGTCGTGGCCTCTCCCGTTGCGGAGCAGAGGCTCCGGACGCGCAGGCTCAGCGGCCATGGCTCACGGGCCCAGCCGCTCCGCGGCACGTGGGATCTTCCCGGACCGGGGCACGAACCCGTGTCCCCTGCATCGGCAGGCGGACTCTCAACCACTGCGCCACCAGGGAAGCCCCTAGGTG